TGAGGGTCCTGACATCGGCTGCCACATGCAGGAATCTCGGGCGGGCACGCGTGGAATGGGGGAGGAGGAGGAGGAGGAGGAGGAGGAGGAGGAGGAGGAGGAGGAGGAGGAGGAGGAGGAGGAGGAGGAGGAGGGGATATGGGCATTCGCTGCCATGCCCGAAGGGCACCATCCTCGAGGGGCACGAGGGGCTGCGGCCTCGGGCTGGCTGACTGATGCACGCAGGAGTCCGCTGGTAGAGGGAGTGGGCAGCCCCGTCTTAGAATCCAAAACGCTCGGCGTTTGGCCGAGCCTTCTCGCCCTCGGCGTTTGGTCGAACCCATGTGCCCTCGGCGTTTGGTCGTGCACCCTCGCCCTGCTGATGCGCCGTGCAGGCGCCTGGCACACCTGACCTGACCTACCAGAGAGACCTTGTCATTCTTCTACGCCTCAGCGTGCCAGGAGGCACGGTGGCGGATTGAAGCATCAAATCCGGTTGTGTTGGTGCTGTTTTGTGTTCAGCGTTCGGCCTCCAGAGGCCCTCGCAGCGCCCCGAGACCAGAACACCAGCAACTCTGGTTGAACATGATGCCCTGCGCAAAGGATCGGGACTTCCGAGGACCCCGTCTTGAAACAACACGCCTGCCGACGGACCCAACCATGTCAAGTTGTTGGTGCCGTCGGTGCATGCACACCATTTGGTGGAGCTCCCTGTGAGGCCTCGAAACGTGTGAAGAGTGTACCAACATGGGTGCGGTGGGCGCATCCAAGCGCTAGCATTTGAGCCTTCGGTAGTGCCCCCATCTGGGGCCACGAAGCGTGTGAGCTCCCTACGGGGCCGCGAAGCGTGTGAGGGGTGTGCCAAAATGGGTGCGGTGGGCGCATACGAACGCTGGCATGTGGGCCTTCGGTGGAGCCCCGTAGCGGCCACGAAACGTGTGAGGAGTGCGCCAACATGGGTGCGGTGGGCGCATGCGAGCGCTGGCATGTGGGCCTTCGGTGGAGCTTCGCAGTGGTCACGAAACGAGTGAGGGGTGTGCCAAAATGAGTGCGGCTGGCGCATGCGAGCGTTGGCATGTGAGCCTGCGGTGGAGCCCCCTACGGGGCCACGAAACGTGCGAGGGGTGTGCCAAAATGGGTGCGGTGGGCGCGCTTGCGCTTGCGCTTGCGATGGCATTTGGCCTTCGGTAGAGCTCCCAATAGGGCCACGCATCGTGTGGGGGCTGTGTGGAGAAATGGATGCGGTGGGCGCATGCGGGCGCCGGCATGTGGGCCTTCGGTGGTGTCCCCTTTCTGGGGCCACGAAGCGGGTGAGTGGTGTGCCAAAAGGGGTGCAGTGTGCGCATGCGAGCGCGGGCATTTGGGCGCTCGGTGGAGCCGCTATGATGCCACGAACCGTGCGAGGGGTGTGCCAAAGTGCGGGGGGTGATGGGAGGAGGGAGGAGCTCCGCAGTGGTCGCGAAACGTGTGAGGGGTGTGCGGAAATGGGTGCGGTGGGCCCTCGGAAGTGCCCCCTATATGGGGCCACGAAGCGTGTGAGGGTGTGCCAAAATGTGTGCGGCCGGCGCATGCGAGCGCGGGCATTTGGGCGCTCGGTGGAGCCCCCATACGGGGCCACGAAACGTGTGAGGGGTGTGCCAAAGTGAGGGGTTGACGGTAGGAGGGAGGAGGGGGAGGAGGTCAGAGGAGGAGGAGGAGGAGGAGGCGGAGGAGGCGGAGCAGGAGGAGAGGAGAGTGGACTCGGGCATCTCAATTCAGAACGAACCCAACACCGCAGGACGGTTGGGAACTACCACGTAAGGTTTCTGTTTTGAACCATTGAAGCGCTGGCCGCCGAGTTTTTGGTTCGTGACCCCTGAAGTCTTTTTGCATGCCCATACCTCACCCCTGAAAAATCAGCGGCCTATCCGTATGGGTGCGGTTCGGTCACGTCGAGGTGAGTCTGGCACATGGCGATGATATTCCACCAGGAGGGCCCAGGAGAGCGAGAACCGACCAACAGCCTCGATCTTCGAGATTCGATCCTCGTCGCCGCCGACGTGGGAGTCGGCATTGGCGTCCCCGAGAGCTTTGGATGAGGATGGGTCGCTCCAGGCGTACTGGGGCGCTCCGTGCGTCCTTGCGGAGCGCTCTGGACCGGCCGAGCCGCCCCGTGCGACCTCCAGACCCGCCAGTTTTTGTATCGGGGGCGGCAAAGGGGGGGGGTGATGGGTGGATAGACCTCCTACCCTGACACGTCGATTAAGGAATTGGCCGTTTTCGGTTCGCGAGAGGGCGTCGCGGCCGTCATTTTTGCGTGTCCAGGTCCGTCGGTTTCGGTCCCAGGCCGTTTTCACTAAGGGGAGGTTTGCTATAGGGAGGCTTGTCCACCGCCGAACTAGGGGGGGGGGATATCATGGCGGGGTCCATGATATCTCCACAGATTTCATGGCGCCCCTTCTTATTTCACCACGTCCCTGCCCCCCCCCTTGGGCCGCGCTTATGCCGCCGGCCATGATTTGCACCCCCCCCCTCTGGCACGCCCCCCTCTTGGCCGCCCCCGATTTGAACAGTATTCCTGATTTGAGTTCTCGTCCGGATTTGTCCTCATCCCGCGTCTGCCTTGGTCGGCCTCGGCATCGTCGTCGTCGTCGTTGTTGGAGGCCTGCATTCGGCAGCCCTCCCTCCGATCTTCGTCGTCGTCGTCACCGTCGTCGTCGTAATGTAGGATGACGACCTAGAAGTGCCTACGTAAGGGGGGCCGTTTGGCAGCAGCGCCCTGGGCGATGATTAGAAGATTTGGTTCCGGGCCTGCGCGTGGGAGCGTCGACTGAGGGCCTCTGGAGAGTGCCTCTTGGGGGCTCTTGGAGGCCTCTTGGGGCCTCCTCGGGGCCGCTTGGGGCCTCATGGATCCTCTTGAGGGTCTCTTGGGGGCCTCTTGGGACCTCTTGGAGGCCCCTCGGGGCCGAGGGCTCGAAATGTTCGTCCGGGCTCCCCGTCTGGGCCCCCTCTTGGGGCCGTCTCTGGGCTCTCTTTGGCCGTCTTGGGTCTTGGGCGCCTCTCGGGCCGTCTTGGGGCCCTCTTGGGGGCCCCTGGGGCCGCCTCGTGGACCGTCTTGGAGCGTCGATAAGCCGAAAAGGCGAGAACGCCCAAATCCTTCAAACACCAATGGGAAATCATCCTCTTGGAGGTCGCTGGTGGTGTCTTGGATGTCTCTTGGACAGTCTCGGGGCCGTCTTTGGTCCGTCTTTGGCGCCTTGGAGCGATCTTTCGGCGACTCGGAGCACTCTTGAACCATCCTGGGGGTTTCTTAGGGAGATTTGGTCCGTCTTGAACCCCTCTTGGGCCCCAATGATTCATGCGACAAGCCGCGGGGAACTGTGACAAGCCCGAGAAGATCTGGCAATTGGCAATTTTGTCTCCAGGCCCCTGAAGACTCTTCAGGAGTGAGGATAGGCTTCGAGGATTGAGCAAAGGACCTGGGGACACGCCCACTCCCTGCCCAGCGGCACGGTGGCGGATGCTTTCAATAGGTTCCCCCTCGTTTTTATTCTTAATCGCCATCATGCGTTACAGTCAAGCCGCAGAAAGATGAGCGACTTTCCAAGCCTACTCTTACATCCTTGTCCCGTGGGCTCATCCTGGCCACTTTCGCTGGCCGCGCCCTTCTCGAAAGATGTCGATATTGCCTTCCAAGGCCCTGTCATCCTTATCGTGCATCCTTGTTTTGCGAGTTGACTGTTGTCGTCCTCGCCGTCCCCGGACCTCCGCCGTCAAGAGTTGTGCGTGGCGTGGGCACTATGGAGCTCTCGACGCCTTCCCAGGGGACCAGCTGTTCATCTTGGGTCGTGTCGTCGTCGTCGTCGTTGTCGTCGGGACTGGGAAACGCTAGTTTGCGATGGCGAGTTGTGGAGGGGTATGGAATCTATGTACGTTCACAGGTCCAACTGGGGCGCCTCGGCGCACCCGCCGTTCCCAAACACGGGACGCCCTCTGGGCGAGATCGGCGCCGCTCCGCTCCGCTCTCTGTCGCCGCTGCTACTGGTGCGGCCTCCCCGGAGATCCGCCGTCGCTAGCAAGACATACATTCTCGTGAAACTCACGGCTTGAGCCCTAGACCCCATCTTCGTTCGCCAGTGTTTGCGAGCCAGATGGGTCCGTGAGGATCTTGGAGGCCCGGGACCATGCGAAAACTCCCAGCCCGAAAACAATGCGGCGCCAGGATCTCAGCGGCGGCGGAGGAGGAGGAGGAAGAAGAGGGGGAGGAGGAGCAGGAGGGAGGGGGGAGGAGGCGGAAGAGGAGGAGGAGGAGGAGGAGGACCAGTGTAAACCCAAGATGCATCAACGATGTTACAATACACCCTCTCTCCAAGCTCCCTCTTCATAGGCTCTTGCAAGAGTTGTTGTTTACTCCGAGAAGTGCCATGTTAGAAGAAAACCGTCTGAGAGTCCTCAGCCGTGCCGAATCACCATTCTTAGGACTCCAACGCCGCGAATCAATCTTACTGTTGCGTTCTGACGATGCTGAGTCTTGGACTTTCTACACCGCGAACCAATGTGACTGTTTCCGCCCTGATATTTGTAAGTCGTGCCGGGACACCATTCCTGGGACGTCAACCAGAGCTCATTTCCGAAAATCTGTTCGCCATCCATCCGCGAAGCTCGTGCAAACTTTTCTGACAAATGTGCGCGGTGCCATGGCGAAGACCACATTTTGGAAAGGAACCGCCCTCCATTTGCGAGACGCTGGTAAACCTTAAGTTACATGATCATAAATTCTGAGGAAGTCTCAGGCGAACGCAAGCCCGCCCTACTGACAAATCCTGGAGCAGGATAAGGAGGAGGAGGAGGAGGAGGGGGGAGGAGGAGGATAAGGAGGAGGATAAGGAGGAGCAGGATAAGGAGGAGGAGGATAAGGAGGAGGAGGAGAAAGAGGAGGAGGAGGAGGAGGAGGAGGAGGAGGCACAAGTAGGTGGAAGTGGAGAAGGGGGAGGCATCCATGCGGCAGCCCTCCGTCGTCGTGGCCGCCGCCGCCACCGGAGGCCTCCATGCGGCAGCCCTCCCCCGACGGCTTCCTCGAGCAGCGGCTGGTGCGCTCCGCGCCGGCCAGCCGCGCGTGCTCGGACGGCGGGGGCGGCTTCGGCGCCGACGGCTGGGACCACGGGGGCAGTCGGGGGCCTTGAGACGGGGGTCAGTGCAAACGGGGGTCAGCCAGACCGCCCGATCTTGCAGGATCCTGCGCATTGGCTCAGAAGCCGGGCGACGGCCGGCAAGTCCGTGGCCGCCGAAGCAGAGCTCGGGAGCCTGTTTTGTTCTGCCGGGGAGCAGCCCGCTTACTAGTTACAGTGCGCTGAGCTTGCTTCCGGGAATGTGTTTCTTCCTTCCGGGAAGACCGTTTTAGCAGCCACGGACTTGCTGGCCCTCGCCCAGCTCCCAATTGGCCCAGGCCTGAGTGCAGGACCTTGCAGGATTCTGCAAAGCCTGGTTGGCCCGGGTCTGGATGGACCCCGGTCAGAAGGTCCCCGAGGCAGCTCCAGCGACGAGGAGTCGGAGGACCTGGAGGCCCCGGCCCGGCCTCCTCGCCGCCTGCCGCCCGGAGCCAAGGTCGTGTTGCGTCTCGCTGCTCGGGGAGACCTGGGTCAGGAGGGAAAAAAACACACAGACACAATGAATCGTCGATGCCCAGGAAAAGATGGGAAACTCTGGGAAGTGTGGGGGAGCCGAAAGCTCAGAAAGCAGGGGAAAATACGGTGCATCCTGTTATTTGTGTCCATTTATTTGTGTGTTCCGGGGCCCCTTCCTCCTCTCCGTCTGCCGCTCGGAGCCAAAGTCGTGTGCCGCCTCGCTGCTCGGGGAGGCCTGGGGTCCGGCAGGCCTCTGCTCCTCGCCCCCTCCCCAGACGTGATCGCGCCGTGAAGACTTGGCATCGTTCGGACGTGTGGACTGTCTCTCGACGGGGATGACAGCCAAGACGCTGAAATAAGGAACGGTTTGGATTCGGTAGGGGCTCGATGTTCCTGAAGTCTTTCCGTGGTTGTTCCTCCAGCCCTTCTCGTGCACCCAGGCAAGCCACAGCGGGGCTGCGTCCCTCATTTAGCGCTCCTGATTTCAGCAGCCCGACTGTATGAAGGAGCATCCTGGGTCGTCCTGCGAACAAAAAAAAACACGCACGAACCCGCAAAACAGCACATGGAGTGGACGTCCGAGCGATGGCCAGAAGAGATCGTCGACGGGAGGCTCCCCTTTCTGGCGGCGAGCCGAGCACGGGAGGCGGCCAGAAGGCCTCCTCCTCGGCCAATGGGGGGCTTGTCATCGTGGAGGGCGCTTCCACGGTGAAGAGGAGTTCTTGCATTATGTCGGGCCTGTCCTTACAGGGGGATTTTCGACGAAAAATTGTACCCCCCCCCCCAAGATAATCAAAACATAGTCCCAAAATACTCTGGGGACTGTTTTCTGAGTATGTTTTACCTTTTTGGTGTATGTTTATGGTATTTGTTATTCCCAACCCTCCTTGGTTGGGTATTCGTTTTGAACCTCCCGTCCCGCCTCCCTCTTGCCTCCTCCTGCCTTACCTGCGGGGGGCTGCGATCTGTGAAACTGTCGCCACTTTCGAGGTCTGCTGGGGGGGCCCAGCACAGTGACGCCACGCGCGGACCCAAATTAGACCTCGCCATCCCTGGGGGGCTGCGATCTGTGAAACTGTCGCCACTTTCGAGGCCTGCTGGGGGGCCCAGCACAGTGACCCACGGGCGGACCCAAATTAGACCTCGCCATTCCCTGGGGGGCTGCGATCTGTGAAACTGTCGCCACTTTCGAGGCCTGCTGGGGGGCCCAGCACAGTGACGCCACGCGCGGACCCAAATTAGACCTCGCCATCCCTGGGGGGCTGCGATCTGTGAAACTGTCGCCACTTTCGAGGCTGCTGGGGGGCCCAGCACAGTGACGCCACGCGCGGACCCAAATTAGACCTCGCCATCCCTGGGGGGCTGCGATCTGTGAAACTGTCGCCACTTTCGATGCCTGCTGGTGGGTCCTGCGGAGCGGGGCACCGCGCGGACCCAAATTAGACCTCGCCATCCCTGGGGGGCTGCGATCTGTGAAACTGTCGCCACTTTCGAGTCCTGCTGGTGGGTCCTGCGGAGCGGGGCACCGCGCGGACCCAAATTAGACCTCGCCATCCCTGGGGGGCTGCGATCTGAGATCCCCGCTTTCGAAGCGGCTAGGGTTGCTCAGTGATTGTAACTAATCAGTTTTATCTAGTCCGTGTCCTGTAGCCAGTGTCCTGCGAGTCTCCCGAATTCCATCTGCAGAAATATGTAACCCTCGCTCCGTCATCGCCCCCCTTATAAAGTGTCCTAAACTATTTGCGCCCCGCGTTTGCGCAGGGGTTGGGTACGTCGCCAGGGTAATTTGTCGTCGAAAATCCCCCTGAAGGGGGACACGCCCGACAGAGTTCTTGCAGGGACTTCTGAGGAGGACGCTCTGGACGGGAGGGCATGTTGCAGCGTCGCTGATGCACCTTTGCTCCCTTGGCCTACTCGGTGCTCGCTCGCTTCTTTTTTTTTCTCTCTCTCTCTCTCTCTCTCTCTCTTTCTCTCTCCTTCTGGCTCCCTCCCTCCTCACTCTATCGGCCTGCTCGCGCCGTGAGAGAGGTCCACGACGTGAGGCCCCCCAGACGCGGCGAGCCGAGCAGAAGCTTAACGCCAGAACTCTGCACGAACGAAATGGGCACGGAAAGAATGGGTACAATGCCCAACAGCGGATCCTGTTCATTCTGAACAGGACTCGCTGTCCACGCCGCCGCGGCCTGTGTCCATTCGAGACACGAGGCCGCCTGCCCAACAGCGGCCGCTGTTGGTTTGGGACAACATTTGTCGTTGGGCATTGAACCCATTCTTTCCGTACCCATTTCGGGCGTCCAAATTTGGGCCACAACCTTGCGGTACAGTCAAGACGTTGACATAAGAAACAGTTTGGGCACACAAGGGGCTCGAGGTTTCCTAGGTCACTCTATGGCTGTTCCTCTAGCCCAGAATGCACGTTCTGAACGTGCACTCTGGAAAACTCGCGAGGCTCTCCTCTGCTTCGGCGCGGCACCCGCCTCCCCGCGGCGCCTCCGGCTCCGCACCTGGCTTGCTCCGCGCGCGGGGGGGGCGGCTCGCCAGGGAGAAACGGGTCCACAGGTTTCTCGTCGCTTTTGGGCTCCCGGGGCCCTCCACGGGCCCTGGGACTGTTGTCGAACAGTTGTTTATGTTGTTGCAGTAGTTGTTGTCATTGTAGTCGGTGTCGGTGTCGTTGTCGTTGAACTTTCATTCTTGAAGAATAATTATTGTTGATCCCCCCCCACCGGTGCACATTGATTTTTGTTCGATTGAAGTGCCACCCCCGGGGCTCGCACCTTGTTTTTTCTCAAGGAAAGTCTTCCTGCTCAAACTGTGCCCCTGCCCCCCGGGCTACAACAACAACGGCTCCCGCCTGAGACTTCCTCGATTTTTACTCAGGACCCCCGCTCCCGCCTGAGACTTCCGCGCAATTTACTCAGGAAAGGCGCTCCCGTCTGAGACTTCCTCGCAATGTAATCAAGACCCCCGCTCCCGCCTGAGACTTCCGTGCAATTTACGTGGGAACGGTGCTCCCGCCTGAGACTTCTTCGAATTTTACTCAGGACCCCCGCTCCTGCCTGACATTTCCGCGCAACACAAATTATTTTGGAATTGCGTTTCGGCGCTCAGGAACCACGCACGCGCCAAGGACGCCTTCACAACGTGGTATCTTCCCTCTTCCTTCGTCCTTCCCCCTCCCCTTCCTCCCACTCTCCCTCGTTCTTCCCCTCCTCCTCTTGCAGGGCCCGCGCCAATTCCAATGGCGGGCAGAGAGATGTACGCCCCCGAAGGATTGTCCGCCCGTTCCGGTTTGCCCGTACGTCTAAGCCCGCCGGCCCCAGCAAAGAGAAATAATCCCCCCGAAAGGGGTGTGATCGAAGACGAAGAGGGCGGGTTTCGAGGGTGCAGGGTATACGTGTTGAATGACTCGCGGGCAAGTAAGAGCGTACAGCCTTAAAATGGTTGTTGTTGTTGTTGTTGTTGATGGTGTTGTTGCTGGTGTTGTTGTTGTTGTGGTTGCTGTGGTTGTTGTTGGTGTTGGTGTTGTTGTTGCTGTTGTTGTTGTTGGTGTTGTTGTTGTTGGTGTGGCTGTGGTTGTTGTTGTTGATGTTGCTGTTGTTGTTGGTGTTGTTGGTGTTGGTGTTGTTGTTGTTGCTGCTGCTGTTGTTGTTGCTGTTGCTGTTGCAGTTGCTGCTGTTGTTGTAAGTATTGTTGTTGTTGTTGTTAATGTCGTCGTCGTCGTAGTCGTCGTCGTTGTCGTCGTCGTCGTTGTTGTTGCTGTTGAGCGGGAAGCGACTCGGGATGCAGGCCCCGGGGCCCAGGGCCCGCTTCCCATGGCGACCTCCCCATGGGCGGAGCCGGAGGCGCTGCCATTATGTTCAGACCTTTAAGCTCCTTACGTTTTTGTCCACACTTGGATCCGATCGATCCGATTCGATTCGATGTCGATTCGGGTCATCCCGATCCGATTCGATTCCGATGTTGCGACAATCCGATGCGGCCCGATCCTTGCACTGCGTTGTTGTGCATCCTAGCGTAGCCGACCCGACTCGATTTTGATTCCGTGCCGATGCAGCCCGATCCGATGCACATGTCGATGCGATCCGATCTGCCGATTCGATGCTGACTGGTCCTGCCCATCACCATGCCTCACCCCTCCCAGCCGGTCGGGGGAGAAGTGCAGAAAATTGCATTGTGACCTCAAATTTGGAGCGAGACGAATGAGGAGAGAGACGAGACGAGACGAGACGAGGAGAGAGACGAGACGAGGGGGAGAGGGACGGAGGCCTGCGAGGGTCCTCTGCTCTCTCGCCCCGTGCTCCGTTGCCGCCGTTGCAGATCGCAGCGGGCTTGTTGCTGAGTCTTGAGACTGTCTCGCAACACGTCTGGACTTCGTGACCCAGATCAGACCAGGTTTTTTTTTGCTTGCCTCACTTTTTTGGGCGTTCCCGAGATCCGCCGCCACGATAACAGGCAACATCCAGCAACAACAACACCTCGAGCGGAGCCCTGGACCCCACCTCCGGCGCCGCTTCGAGGCCGGATCGCTGTGTGATGGCCCCGGGGCCGCAGACCCCGCAAGAGCGCCCGTGGTAAGCAACGGGGCAAGGCCTGGGCATCGGGGCCGCAGCGGCCTCGCCGCCGTCGCCGCCGGCGCCGCCGGGAGGCCTCCGTGCGGCGGTCCTCCCCCGACGGGCCCCCCAAGCTTCGAGCCTCGAGGGCCCCCAGCCTCGAGCCTCGACGCGACGCCCCCCCCCCCGCCCTGCTCGGCCTTCGAGCCTCGATGCCGCGGTCCTCGCAGCGCGCTGCTCGCAAAGCTCGGCGTCCTCGAGGAGCGCTCGACGCCCTCGGGGTGCCGCGCCGCGTGCCGGGGCGTCGCGGAGCAGCTCGCGCCACGGCGGGCCCGCCCTGTCCCGCCTCGAGCCTCCCGGGCACGCCCTCGCGGGCCCCCCCTCCTCG